AGAATTTGGAATATTTGGAATTTGGAAGATTTGGAATTTGAAAGATTTGGAATTTGGAAGATTTGGAATTTGGAAGATTTGGAATTTGGAAGTTTTGGAATTTGGAAATTTTGGGATTTGAGAAAATTAGGGATTTGGAAAATTTGGAATTTGAGAAATTGAAGAATTTGGAAGATTTGGAATTAGGAAATAATGGAATTTGGAAGATTTGTAATTTGGAAATTTTAGAATTTGAGAAACGTAGGAATTTGAAAAATTTGAAATTTGGAATCTTGCAAATTTGACTATATAACAACTTAAAAATGTACAATTTTAGGAATTTGAGAATTCAGAAATTTTCCTCTATAAAAAATAAAATTCCCCATCGTCAGATGGAATTTATTCGAAGAACACCAACAATGCACAAAAGCAGACACTTGTGTAAGGTATGTGACGTATTTCCATGGTATAATTAAAGTTGTTATTGAGAATACAATAATACTATAATTAGACAGCATTTAGTTGCATAATTTCTAATCACCTGTTTGACTCATTGACAGCAGCTGAACAATTGGTTTGAAATAACAATGCATTTTTTAAAAAAAATCTAACAATGTTAATTCGTTCGAATCGTGAGTTTGTTAAATCATTTTTATTTTCTCGTGATTGGAAATTTACTAATCAAAATTACAGTCTCATAGTGTAAAAGTGCAAAAGAAATTATACATAAGTGCAAACTATAATAAATTTTTCTGACAATTGCTTTGGTAATTAAATTTTAAAGTAGTAGTCAAATTAGTAGTTCATTTATGTTTATCATAATACAAGAATTTATTATTTGAATTGTTCAAAATGAAAATGAGATAACTCTACTTTAACACAAATTTCATTAGTTATATTTTTTAATTTTATTTAATATCAGAAGCTTAAGAAATAAAAAAAGATTAGAATTACACCTCTTTTATTATAAACTTATGTGTAATATGTACATACGTAGCATAATTGCAATTTTTAACATAACTGCTGTATTTGCAATTTGCAACATAATGCCTATAATTACCTAATAATTAGTTTATGTGATATTTAGATGTAACAGTAAGTAATTTAAAAACTTGTGCTTAAAAATTTTCCTAATTTCTCTTCCTTACTAAAACATTTCAAATAAACCCCACAATTTTACGTTCTCGACTATTTACCGAATAGTTGACTATTTATTAATATTGACTACTTTCCTTCTTTAATAAAAAAAATATTGCAAAAATATTTTTATAAAATTCCTCCATCCACAAGCTTAATTTAAAACTGACACCTCACACTGCAATGCAAATCGCTTTCCCGCCAAATCATTCAAATCATGAACTTACCCAAAGCGCATATAAAAACCAGGAACCACGGCACTAATCCCTCCATCTCGTTGTTCCTTGAACACTAACAGAAATCCGAAAACACGGAACTTCCAGTTCGATGAAAAAAACACGAACGTACGTTTACAAGTTCTGTTTTCGATTTGCGTCAAGCGTACGCTCTCACCTATATTTAGGCAGCACTGCAATAATAGCACCACGTTGAGGAAGGGAGCAACTGGAGAACGCGAAAACGCCACGTTCCGACACCTAACTCACTGACAACTTATCAATCACTTCTGTTATCAAACTTCACAACATTCAAATCTACAAGTTTCCAATTCAATTATTTTGATATTCACATAATACGGTAGGTTGATAAATTACTTCTGGGTATAAGTGACTAAATGAACTTGTGAAAATGACAAAATGGTCACGTGATAATCAGTCAATCAAATGATCAGATTTTTGCAATTTTAATTTGTAGTAGAACTCTCAGATTTCTCAGCAATTTTGTGTAAATTTCATATTTTACAAAGTCCTTAAAATTGTTCTTTTATAGGTGGATTAATTGGTAGAAATATGAATTTGTATTTGTATTATTAAAAATTGTAATATAGTGATGGGTTAAAGTGGACAACGAACAGATCAACGTTGATCTCCAAATAATTTCATATAAATTTCATATTTCACAAAGTGTTTAAAATTGCTAGATGAAGACAGTCATCAGCAGAAATATGAATTTGTATTTGAGTATTCAGTATCAAAAACTGTAATGTAGTGAAGGATTAAAGTGTACAAAGAACAGATCAACATTGATCTCCAAACAATTTTACATAAATTTCATATTTCTTTAAACTGTTTAAAATTACTAGCTTCTATAGATGAAGACAGTCATCAGCAGAAAAATGAATTTGTATCTGAGTATTCAGTATCAAAAATTGCAATGTAGTGAAGGGTTAAAGTGCACAAAGAACAGATCAACATTGATCTCCAAACAATTTTACATAAATTTCATATTTCTTTAAACTGTTTAAAATTACTAGCTTCTATAGATGAAGACAGTCATCAGCGCAAATATGAATTTGCACCTGAGTAATCACTATTTAAAAAACTATAATATAGCGAAGGATTTAACTGCACAAAGATATACACCATAGATCACCGTTCACCAAACTTGCAACGAAGCACTCCACGTGTAACTACAAGTTGATCGAATATAAGGATCGAACTGTCACGGCGACCTTGAAGCGTGGTACCGGAAGCACCGTCACGGCGGGAGAAGAGGATGGCGTCAACGACGAACCGACGACCGCGATGCACAGACAGACATATCTGCAGGTCGGAGTTTGTCTGGAGCGCTGTTTGAACGGCGATGAAACGAAAGGCAGGAGGGCGACTGGTTCACTCTTCAATTCTCTCCCTCTTTCTCTGTCACAGTCGTCGTCCGCCTCCTACTCCGCTGAACGACGATGTCGTCGTCCACCAACTCTTCCCCTTCTACGAACGCGTGTTCACGAGGATTCGCGGTATTTTTGTATCGTACTCGGAGGGGAGGAGGAACTGCAACCCCCTACGAGGGTTGCGATGATTTATACACGCTCCCTCGGCGGTTTCTGTATTTTCAGAGAATGCGAGGAGAGGTTTGGGAGATTGTTTGGGGATATTGTGATGTGGTTTTGGGGTTGTAGATATGCAGCTGAATTGTTATTCTTCTTTGCTTAGAGGGATATCTTTTGGGTTGTAGTTAGGTTCTTTCTTTAGTTAGGTTCTTTTACTGATTTTCGGGCTTGGAGTATTTTTGGAGACGTGGTTTGCGATTTAAGATGGTATGTGGTGTGATGTGGGGGTGGAATTGGATTTTAAATTTCTGATCAAGTTTCAGGTTCTGTAAGTAATTTGATCAATTTTTAGTCTCTTAAATTTCCTAATTTTCATAAATTTGTCAAGAATCTCAAGTTTTTCGAATTTCTCAAATTTTCTGAATGTCCCTGCTTTCCCAATTTTTCAACAACCTCAACATTATTTCAATTTTCAATAACTTCTAAAATTTCTTAATTTTCAACAACCTCAGAAATTTCTCAATTTTCAACTTCAAAAATTTTCAATTTCCAACAACCTCAAAAATTTCTCAATTTTTAATAATTTCAAAAATTTTTCAATTTTCAACGACCTCGAAAATTTCTCAATTTTCAATAATCTCAAAAATTTCTCAATTTTCAACAACATATAAAATTTCTAAATTTTGAACAACCTCTAAAATTTCTCAATTTTCAATAACCTCTAAAATTTTTCAATTTTCAACAACGTATAAAATTTCTAAATTTTCAACAACCTCTAAAATTTTTCAATTTTCAACAACCTTAATAATTTCTCAATTTTCAACAACCTTAATAATTTCTCAATTTTCAACAACGTCAACAAGTTCTCAATTTTCAACATCCACAAAATTGATAATTACACATTGTAGAAAATAGTTTTTCATTCAAGTTTACAACTGATAAATTGTTCCCTACAAAAATAATCTACGATACACTTCGATTAGACAACCTTCCATGACTTTCCTCATTAGATTTATTAAAGAAAAACATCGACAAGCTAACTATACAAAATTGCATGATACCAATTATCAAATCATGTATTTTGTAATATACGTTTTATTTAAATATAACTACGACGTATACGTTTTACATGGCAGTTTGGAATGTGTTCCGTGATTGCAGATAAAAAATCTGAAAAATTCTTTGCGTATCATGCATCGTGACAAGCGATCTATTATTCATGTCCTTTGTGAACATAACTCGGTAATTGCTTTCAATTCCACACGGAAGAAGTAAACGGTTAAGTGCACTGTAACAGGTAATCTATTATTCATGTGTTCCGTGAAAATTGCTGTGACTGCCTTTAATTCTACATGCGGGAAGTAGAAACTGTTCAGGATGTAGAACGAATCTGTATCATTAACGGAGAGGATAAAGGGATTTAACAGGTGTGGTAAATCTGCGAAGTATGGAAAATATGACACGTTGAGGAAAGTTGGGAAATTTAGGAAAACTTGGGAAATTATGAAAATGAGGAAAATTGGGAAATTTAGGAAAATGAGGAAAATTTGGAACTTTATTAAAATTTGAAAAATTATGAAAATGAGGAAAATTAAGAAAATTATGAAGCCTTGAAAAATTATGAAAATGAGAAAAAGTGGGAAAGTGATGAAAATGTGGAAAATTATGAAAACTTGGACAATTATGCAAATGAGAGAAATTGGGAAATTTATGAAAACTTGAAAAATTATGAAAATTGAGAAATTAAGGAAATCTGGGAAATTTTTTAGATGTTGAAAATTTAGGAAATCTGGAAAGCAGAAAATTTGAGAATTTTGCGGAATTTGATGGACTTGAAAATTTTTAAGAAATGAAGAAATTTGGGAAAATTGGAATTGGGTATTTATGGGTAGAGGAAGATTAAATTTTGAGGATTTGACGAATTTGGGAAATTTGGAATTGGGGAATTATGGGTACAGGAAGATGAAATTTTGGGACTTGAAGACTTTGGAAAATTGAGAAATTTGGTAAATTTGGAATTGGGGAATTATGGGTTTAGGAGGATGAAATTTTGGGGACTTGAAGACTTTGGAAAAATTAAGAAATTTGGGAAATTTGGAACTAGGGAATTATGGATTTAGGAAGATGAAATTCTGAGGATTCCCGGATTTGAAATTCGACCCACCATAATTCATCACATCACAACCTCCTATTCCTCAACCCTTCTAAAACCAAATTCCCCAAATTTCCAACATTCCAAAATTCAATTTTTCCTAACACTTCCTTATTATACAAATTTTAATAATTTTTTCCTCTACAACAATTCTACCAATCAATTAATAATGTATAGATTTGATAAGGTTCATTGAAATAATTCTACAACAACAGTTTGTACTACAGAATTTCGTATGAATTGACGTTGATAGATGTAAAAGAGAATTTTATAATTCGACTAATTAATGTTCGAATTTCGGATGTGCTATTAATTAATCAACGAACGTGTTCCCTGTACGGGTCATTTCTGATTGGTTATTAACAGCAGCCGCCAGCAGAACCATTAAGAGGATTCAATCGCCCATCAAAGGGATTTGTTACTTCGAAGTCAATAGACATTCTCCATTCCCAATGGCACTAATTAGCGTGTGAAGCAGCTGCGTCTAATTTGCATTATTGAACGATAATTCTAATGATCACTACTATTGCCAATACGCGGTGTACCGTGCCAAGATTACCACTGATTTATTCCACCTTGATTGTTAATTTTATTGAACATTTATTACTAATATAAACTCATGTTTAGGTAGAAAATATTTTATAAATTAATGGTAAATTTTAATTAATACTTAATTTTAGGTTGCAAGTGACATTTTTAATATTCTGTAACATAGAAGATAATTGCAATTTATAAGTGATTTTTGTTTGCAATAAAAATAGAAATAATTGTTTAAAGACTTTTTGATTAATTATTAATTTTTCTGTGTTTATTTCTTTTTGTTATTATCATTGTTATTATTAAAGCACTTAATTTGTATTTAAAAGTTTTTATTTTTTGTTCAATTATTTAAATTTTATGGATTATAATAAATTAATATTACTGAACATTATATAAATGTTAGGCTAGGTTAGGTTAGTTTTAAGGATTGTAATAAATTATTATCATTGAACATTGTATAAATGTTAGGTTAGGTTTGTTTAAGTTTTAAGGATTATAATAAATTATTATCATTGAACATTATATAAATGTTAGGCTAGGTTAGGTTAGTTTTAAGGATTGTAATAAATTATTATCATTGAACATTATACATATAAGTGTTAGGTTAGGTTTGGTTAAGTTTTAAGGATTATAATAAATTGTTATCATTGAACATTATATAAATGTCAGGTTAGGTTTGCTTAAGTTTTGAGGATTATAATAAATTATTATCGTTGCACATTACATCAATGTTAGGTTAGGTTTGTTTAAGTTTTAAGGATTATAATTAATTATTATCATTGAACATTATATAAATGTTAGGTTAGGTTTGTTTAAATTTTAAGGATTATTGTAAATTATT